TTTTTTTTTTTTCGTTTACTTTCATATTTGACATTTGTTTGTTGTTTTTTTGTCCCTCTTCCCCCCTTCCCTGGTGGCCACGCCACGACCCTTCAGAAGTGCATAGTGCAACACGAGACACTCTGACTTACTTTTGCCCGTTTGCAGAACAATGTGCCCGGTTACGGTGACGGCGCAAAGGAGGACTTTAGCGATCTGCCGCCCAATCAGCGCAAGAAGCGGTTGCAGCAGAAAATCGACGAGCTACAGGCAAAGATACAGCAAGAGAGCGCGGCGCGAGATGGCTTGATGAAGATGAAAGGCGTTTACGAGCAGAACCCAGCTCTGGGCGATCCCATGACCATAGAGAGCCAGCTCAACCAGTCGAGCCACAAGCTCGACAAACTTGGAGCGGAACTGAGCAAGTTTCAGGCCTACTTGGAAGAAGCTATCAAAGCAGGTGTCAATCTGTCAAGGTAGCGTTACTCATATGTTTATAAAGTACACCAGTTACAGCAGTACCATGGACGATTGCTTGTTGTATGTTGTACCTGCATGTCCGATTAATCGAGTGACCCACAAGTATATGCAAAAATCTCTTGCAGTCCAAGCCAATTGCAAAGAAAGCCAACGACGAACGGTTCGGCAACGAGACCACTGAGTTCGAGAAGATCGAGTCATTCCGGGGATGAAGAGAGCCTTTCAAGATCGGCGTCGGACTCGAGTGTTAGTAACGTCAATGCAAATAATCAAGCGGATGCTAAAAAGAGTAGTAATCCAGGAACCCCACAGCCGACCCATGGGTGAGTTTTGTTGAATTTTTGGCGACTGTCTTCAATGTTACATTTTTTCGTTCCCATTCACGATTGCAGCTACGAAGCTTACTTTACACCTTTTAATTTTGACTTTTTATTTTTTAGTTCATTTTATTTAAAAAATTTTTTTTTTTTTTCTTACATTCGCAATAGAATTTTTAGATATTACCATATACATTATTAATTGCTAGACTGCTTTACAGATAGCGTCATTTTCAAGAGAGTTTAGGAACGATTATAGTTTGTAACAGACTAGGATTAGGAATTTTGTATCGACTATTTTGTTTTACCATACTCATGCACAGTTCCACGAATAGCCCGGAGTCTGGTCTTGGAGCCTCGAGGACGTCCCTGCCAGGTAGCACCGGCGAGGAATACTACGTTGACGAAGTCGACGCCCAGCCTCCGCTCGGTACCTGCAAGGCTCTCTACCCATTCGATGGTTGTAATACTTTTGTATTAAATTTCGATACAAGAATAAAGCATTTTTATTACTGTTTCGTAATTTTTTTTTTTCTTCTCTTTTCAGCTACTAGTGAAGGATCAATACCAATGTACGACGGCGAAGAACTTTATATGATTGAATTGGACCAAGGCGATGGATGGACGCGAGTCCGTCGGATTTCGCAACCAATTGAGGGTTTTGTACCCACATCATACATAGAATGTCATTTATACAATACATAGTTGGAGCAATACAAACTTTTACTTGAAGAAAAAATTCCAAAATTGTGCGAAACGTAATAGATCTAGACGTCTATAAAAAATTTACGTCGATTTAGGCTTGAGCTGGGATTTTCAGTCCCATGTGAGTGTTTAAACTCAATGTGGAGAAAAACTTAGTTCTGCAGTTGTCTTCAAGTCGTTTTCAATATTGATTGAGTTCAAAGCAAAATGCGACTCTAAATTCCAACTTTATCATACAAGATGATATCTGCCTGTCTCATCTTTCATGGATCATATATTTATCGGTCGAAAAAAAAACATAAATGTATATTTTCAAACAACCATAGAGCTTTAAAATCAAGTTTGAATGAAAAGTAATACTAATTCATGACAGATTTTACTGTATCGAGTGTACGTATGTATACATAAATGTTACACTAGAAACGTAAATAGGGCAACGTAACTTGTTCCTTCGTGGAACTTGAATCATATAGGTTGTCATTTAAATACGTGAAATACAGGCATTACTTTGTGTGATTCCTTTAATCTTATTATTTTGTACGTCTATCGAATTNTTTTTTTTTTTTTTTTTTTTTTTTTCCTTAAATCACGACAAAATTCTACACGAGTTGATGTTAGCGAGACTTGCATAAACCATCCCCTGAGCTGAAGGATGAAGAAAAAAAAAAAGAAAAGGATTTTCGAGTCCAACAAACCAAGCAAGTGCCGATTGCCCAACTAAACGGCACCACCAAAGCAACTCGTTCAGCTGTACATACGCGATGGTCACGACGAGCCCACTGTCTCGAGCTCTTTCTGTCGTATACCTACCTCGATCGCCCGTCGGCATAAATTTCAATTTCACTCCGGCCGTTGCTGTCGTTATTAGTTCGACTAATAACTTTCGGCCGCGCGCCCTGCAATGAAAATCACCGCGGAACTTTGCGCACTCGAGCTTCGTACGTACATGGTTGGCAAATAAATTTTTCGCTAATAACGATCATTAGCGTCAATTATCCGACAGAGTGTTTATAGAGGCTCTCTCTCGCGGAAGAAACGCGATACTCAATTTTCGCGGTTTCTTTGTGCAGCTCACGACTCTCGGGCAACCAGGGAGGGGGGGGGAGGCTCTCTGGCTTTCAGAAATCGCTTTAATAATCGGCTATACGTATACGATTGGTTTGCAGGGACTTGTGTGAGTGTGTTTAAGAAAAAAAAAAAAAAAGAAAAACCAGCACACCAGTTTGATAATGAATGGATGCAACGGATGCGCCTGAGTTATTTCGGCAATTATCTTTTGAACTCCGACCTCGTGTATATAATGGGCACACACGTATACTTTTTCTTGCGAGAGAAGACACTTTAGATTTATGGTCGTCCCGAGCAGTTGCTTTCGTACCGTGAGCTGTTGCGCACACATTTTCAAAGAAGCTCACTCGGTGTTTTCTTTTTTTCAACTGCCAACAAAAAAGTGAAACGAAGGCACTTTGGCTCGCGCAGGTATACGGGGGGCGCGCGCCCGGACCTATCGTCGTAAACATCACCCCGGGAAAAAGTCTTCCTTCCGTCCGCACGCCAATCTCACTCGACCCGCAATATTCATCCCAAGCGCTTTGTTCCCTATACGCCCTCGACTTTTCATTCCCTTCTCTCCCCCGTATAATTCTTCGGCCCCGAGTTTTTCCCCCTGTACTCGCACACCCAGCTGCCATTTCGGCGCATATCGCTCGCGCGGAGTTTCCACGGAAAGGGCTCGTTAAAAAACTTTCGTCCCGAAATTTTTACGGCCGCTCGCGAAAAGTCACCAGACGCACCGCGGAAAATTTATACGCGCACGACTCGAGGCCGATACGCGTACAGAGTTGAATTTTCCGATCGTTTTTAACAACCCGCTGTATACGGTTCACCGATCCGGGGAGGTGGGGTCTGTTATGGTACAAGCCGATAGTACCCACTGAGCAAACACTCTCGGGAAAATCTCTCGAACCAATAGCTCTTGTATATATACGCGCAATTACCGGCGATGATGATGAAACGCGCTCGGCCGCGACGAACAACTTAATGTCCGCCTGCATACGTCCAGCGTCCCGGTGGAAGGAGTGTCTAATCAATGGTGAGCCTTTGCCGAGTAAAAAAAAAAAAAAAAAAAAAAAACAAAGATCGGAAAAGTAAGTATATAGGCACGCGCGGGCTCGCAATCAATGAATGAGTCATTCATGGGCGCTCTAATGTCGCTTTGATGGAGCGAGTAAGTGTGTATCGCGTGTATACGTATCGTTTTACATTTACGTATGGTTTTTTTTTTTTTACGAACGCGCGGCGCGGCACAGGCAGTTGTATCGTATATACGAATATTGCGTAACGCGCGACAACAACGAATGTGGTGCGTCTGCAATGTAACGTATATATGTGGTCATTCGCGCATGATGTTGTGGATGGGTTTTGGAATGCAGATTGTTTTTCACTTGTGCATATTGGTACGTGTGTAGGTAATACTAATGTGTAGACGATATTGTGTTTGTTTTTTTTTTGGAATTTCTACGGTATGAAATTGTGCTTACAGCTTACCCGTGTCTTTTAGATGTGCCATTTACGAGAATAGCCATGAAAAATGGTCCTTGATGCCTTGGGCCCCGAATGTCCATTAAAATTTCTCGAAAAACGTGCCTTTATAGGGAAACTCTCGGTCAATAACCCAATAGAAACGCTCCGGTTGAACTCAAAAACAGTTAACGACAACAGAGAAAGAAAAACGCGATCTATTGACTTGAGTCCTTTTAAAGACCAACAAAGCCAAGACACCCCCAGCATTGAGTCCAAAAAGCTCACGTTGGAGCAAAATCCGGTGCAGTGACGAACAGTATACACCCATTAATCGGCGAGGCACCTCTCCCACGCATCAAGGCGCATTTGCGGGTAAAAACAACAACGAAACACGAAAAGACTCTCGGCACCTGTTTAAATATTCCGTTGTACCCATACCACAAGCTCCGCGCTACAGAGAGAAAGAGACACCAGAGTATCATTACATACACACCTACGGCAGCTGTCCGCGAAACGCTCGTGACGACAAACTCGCATCTATCTCGCTGCATCCTCATAACTCCTCCTCTTCTTCTTCTCTCGCTCTATTGGGTGTATATTTATACCCGACTTATCCGCGCGTGCGAGAACATTCGTATTTATATACAGCTAACTGAGGTAACCGCCGAAAAAACGCGAGTATGTATCGAATAAACGGGTAGAGACTGCAGAAGCCGTATGATCTAGTCCCGTACGTCCACTTAAACGCGTATTCCCAATGTACGAAATGATTTGTAATTTTACACGGAAGCGGGAAATATACACCCCACGGATAATAATGATACTTACGCGGGGGTGGGTACATATACGTATACTGCTTGTCCAAACCAACGCAGCATCGAGTCGTACGGTGAAGGAAAAAAAAAATAAAGAAAAGAGTAGCCCTTGTGAACTTTAACCGCGGAGCAAAACACCGAAAACGACTGCTCGCATGCGATCGCGTATTGATACTTACTTCCGTATATAATTAATATATGCTCTCTCTGCTGGCGTACGTATATTAAGTTCTCTACATGTATAACTTGCGCATTCGCGTGCGCTACAATTGCACGGGGAAATAGTATAGTACAACCGTAAAAGCGGAATCCGCGCTTCTTAGCTCCCACGATATCTTCTCGCCATACATGTATATATTGTATATATATATATATATGTACGTACGTGCATTCACGTAATTACAAGTAGAGATTTGAACATTGCATACCTATGATGGAGTTGTTGTTGGCGAGTAAACGTTTGAGCTGAGGTATCCGACAGGTGACAGTGGGTAGATCGATAAAGGCATTGTGTGATATGTCGAGTCTCTCGAGGGCCTGGAGTTCGGACAGCTCCTCGGGCAGTTTGCTCATCTGGTTGTGGCTGAGGTTCAACTCTGTGCCGGGCATTGTCATAAGGAAGAAGGAAAAAAACGTAAGTTGTGAGCACATAGTGCGGTAAAACATTATTAAATAAGTGATGCAAACCGGTGATAAGAGAGAACTTGACGGCGAATTTCGGGGGTATCTTGGTGATGACATTGCCGGAAAGGTCGCAGCTCTTGAGTTCCGTGTGTCGCATTAGGTGATAGACGGCATCTGGTACCTGCATCAATTGGCATTCTGACAGATCTGCAAACATTAATAGATATATACTTACAATATACTTACATCAGTCGAGCAATGAACAGCTACACGTATATACATTATATATATATAGGTACACGAATATCATAAATGTTACAAGTGGAGTTCCTTTAATATAATATATACTTAGGTACCTATAATAGTAACGCATATCATATATACTATTACCTAAGGGCACACGGGTCATTTTACGAAAAACGGATTATTGGGATTTTTTTTTTTTTTTTTTTTTTTTTTTTTGTATTTCCCGTTTCGGGAGGGGAAACACCAGCACTGTATGCGTATAATAAAAATATATATATATAATACAACAATAATATATTTGCTTGGGCTCTCGTGTGCGTCCCACTAGATTTACACTTCCTCTCTCTCTTTTTTTTCTTTTACTCTCCATTCTGTTATACACAACAATCAATTCTTTTATATCATTTCACATAAGTGCAGTATATTTTGTCAAAATACGCTAAAAACGCACAATTTTTTGTTTGTTTTTTTTTTGTTTTCATTTTGCTCGATTTTGCTCGTGACTTTTCAAAGTTGCGAATAACGTCACCACTATATATATATATAAAATTTTGTACATAGAAA